AAACCCCATCTCTACTAAAAATACAAAAATTAGCCAGGCGTGGTGGCAAGCACCTGTAATCCCAACTATTAGGGAGGCTGAGGCAGGAAAATCTGGGAGGTGGGGGTTGCAGTGAGCCGAGATTGTGCCACTGCACTCCAGCCTGAGCAACAAAGAGTGAGACTCTGTCTCAAAAAAAAAACCAAAAAGTACAACAGGAACTATAACATTTATTCACTCATTTAACAATGAAATTTAACCCAATGATTCTAAAAAGACTCTAGTTATCACACAATGTCTTCATTGTCACATGATGTCTTTGCTTGTTCTAAGAGTGATGACTAAATGAACAAGATGAATGAGTTAAAGAGAAAAAGGTGTAAGTTAGTATTTGGCCGTTTTTATTTACAAATTCTCATATGTAAACCCTGTTGCAAAACATGTCTTCAATTTAGAAAACTAAAATTTTATGCCAAAAAGAATAAGAAAAAATACATGAACTACAATTTCAGAATGCATGTAAATTGTGTTTGTAATTTTCTAAATATTCGGATCTCATATCAAGACTGGCTCTTCCCTAGACATTGCTCAATGAATGACTGACTCCACTGAATGGCATCAGAATGGAAATGATGAACAGGACAGATGGCTATTCTGTTCACTTGAACTTGAACTCTTCCGTTTTGCGGAATTGATCAACATAAAAGAGCTGTATTCTTTTTTCTTTTTCTTTTCTTTTTTCTTTCTTTTTTTTTTCCTGGAAGCTAGTACAGTGGAAGGCTAGAACTGGGCTAATTCTCTTGGCATGCAGCTGGATTTCTGAAGAGAGCCAGTTGTATCATCTGTTGAATGAGTTTTGCCCCTGTGTTCATTCAGGACTAGACTGACGCATGAGTGCTCGACTATTCTGGTTGAACACGGCTAGTGTTATAGAGTGTGCAGGACAAAGCAGCCACTTCGGGAGGGAACTGAATTCTACTCTCCTGGCATGCTTGGAAATGCAAAGCCAACCTTCACAATAGACTCATGGTGGAAGCCATGAGAGTTCTGGTCATCCTGTGTGCCCCAGAGCCGTTGTACCTCTTGTGGGGGTAAGCTGGCTCCCAGAATCACCCATATGTTTGGCCAGATTGGAGCCTTCTGTTAGATGGAAATGGCTAATCCGTATCTCACTGAGACTAGATCTTTAACTACTGAAAGGAACATGTATTGTCCTCCATTTTATCAGAGGCTGTCTAAGTTCCAGTTGTTTTCTGATAATAAATTCAACAGGAATAGAAAACAAAAATTTACTTACACACAAAGTGGGTGTGAGTAACCTACAACTTCTGTTTAGACTTAAATGTATTACAGGGCACCCTTCTATGTGAATTATCAAGAGTTGCATGCTAACTATAGACGTGGTGACCACCGTGTAGTATTCTATTTTATAATGCTTTACATCTGTAAAGCACTGTGCACTGTGCACTGTGCCCTGTGAGGATGGTGTGAGTTCTCATTTGTTTATTTAAAGATTATATTATTTTATATCCCCAATGAATAAGACATTCTACTAGATACTGTAGAGGGAAAAAAGAGTCTTATAGTTCCTTCTCTTGTTCCAAGAAGATTATAACCCAAGGATAAACTCTCAAAATCTGAATAACTCTAATTCAGAGCATGAAGAACTAATTCCAAGACATATAAATTAGGAGTACCACAGATTTAAAGAAAGTAGAGTTGAGGAAGTCAGGAAAAGCTTTGGGGCTGGGTAGGCATCCCTGAAGTGGAGAAAATGTTTCCAGCAGAAACCGTGGAATGGGCCAACTTCAAAAGAAAGTTACAAATCAGCCATTTGTCCAGTTTGGCATTTGTATATTTCAGAGCACAGGAAAATATGGCTTGAGAGAAAGGTGGGTTTGATCATAGTTTTTCAGTCTTAAAATACTTGCTAATCACTACTGATTTGGTGATTTTATAGACAGTTGGAAGCTAGTGAAGATTTCTGAGAAAGGGAATGCTATAGTTTGATAATCTTTAAGAATACATATCTGGCAGCGGGGTGGCAAGGCTGTGCCTATCATGGACAGAAGCGGTCCCAGGGGTCAGGTATTCCATCCCTCCTTCTGATCCTTGAGGAAGTCAAGATGCACCCAGAGTTTGACTGTGGACAGACCACAATTCTTTTTACACATCCCAAATCCTTTTACATCTGGCCAATCGTTCTTGCTAATATCACTGTTGAATTATCATAATTCTTGTGATAAGACCATTCTTTATTTTTTATAAGACCATTCTCTGAAAAAAAAATCACAGAATTACTGATATATAATTGTGTTTGTCAATTTTTTAGAATATATTCTCTCTATAGCAAAGGAATCTCCCCCTCATCTAAAATTCACATTTTTAAAACTTGATTTGCCAAAATCTGACATTAATCAATATTCTCTGCCTTTTTCTCAGAGGTTGGCTAGAAAAGATTTCAGAATCCAGGCAGGAGACACTTCCTAGGTCTTCCTAAAGATATGCCTGCATATCCTTAAACATAGTCTAGGAACTCTTCTGAAGGAATGACTAACTGGTGAGTAATTTTTTACCTGGATAGCTTCATTTATTTTACTCAGGTAGAGAGATTAGCAGCATCTTGTGACTAATGATCAATGACTTTTAAACCATGTCAATACCTTTTTAGAGTTAAAGCATAATGAAAACTTAATGAAGGCTTCCTGGTACATTAACTTTCTATGAGAAATATACATAAGAAATGCATGCTCAGCACTTGAGTGACTCCATCTGAGTTTTATAGGTATTCCTGACTTAACAATTTCATTCCACAAACACTGCATATCTATTTTGTAAAAGCACTATATTAAGTAACTCTATGAAATACAAAAATTGTATATGAAGTGGATATTTTCCTCAAGGACCCTTTAAAATGTAAGTTAATTTTCTTGTGTTTAATCCTGAAAAGATCTGAAAATCAAGTTTAGAAAGCAAGCTGAACTACCGGTTGGCAGAAGAGATAGGTACCGCATAGTCATATCAGACCAAATGTAATCAGAGCTATTATCAAAGTCTAACCCTTGGGAGCACAATGTGAGGTTAATTATAAATGTGAACATGAGTCACATTTTCCTGAACAACTGCTATGTGCAAGCATTATTCTAGGGGCATGCGGGGTTGGGTGAGAGAGTGAAGCAAATATGAGAAGTGGGTCTTGTTCTAGAGGAGAAAGACAGGCATGCATTCAATTAAAATACAAAGCATCTGCTGAAAGTTCAATAAGAGAAGTTCAGACAGTATTATGGATTTTTGGAGGTGAATCCATTTATTCTATTTAGGGCTCTGAGAGGACATCATAAAGTAGATGCCATTTCAGTTGGATCTAAAGGTGATATGGGATTTCTAAACATAAAGAAATAAGGGAAGAATCATATCAATCTTAATCCCAACATTTTAATATTTGTATTTGGGTAAATGTGGTTACTATATATGAATATCAAAGACACACTGGAGGAGTAAGCTATCCCTAGGGAATAACACGTGGAGGTGTGGCTGTTGGGAGCCTTGTCTCTTACTCTCTCTAGGAAGGCAACACTGGAGGCTATTATCCTTAGCAAACTAACACAGGAATAGAAAACCAAATACCACATGTAATGACGAGAATACATGGACACATAGAGGAGAACAACACGCCCTGGGGCCTTTTGGTCCCAGGGTGGAAAATTCGAGGCTGGAGAGGATCAGGAAAATTAATTAATGGGTAGTAGGCTTAATACCTGAGTGATGAAATAATCTGTACAACAAACCCCCATGATATGTGTTTAACCTAAGTAACAAACCTGCACTTGTACATCTGAAATTTAAAATAAAAGTTTAAAAAAAGAAAAGAAAAAGGAAAGTAATACTCATGCAGCACAATGGTTGTTTTATGCTGTTGCTTTTGTGCTTGTCATTTGTGTTGTTGGTAGAATCACGTGGACTCCCTGCAGTACTCGTCAAATGACTCAGGTCTCTCTAAAGGCCAAGACCCTGGGAAACTGCCCCACTTTTTACACAGGGAAACTCTACGGAACATCACTCAATGCAGAGGAAAAGCTAAAGCTGTGTCTGAAGACAGCCACAGCAGTAGAAAAGACCCCATGTATATGCAGGGATCAGATGAAACAATTTGAAACTCCAATGAACTTTTGCTATCCACTTTGCTGTCCCTTAGACTAGCAACATGAAAGTGTTCTACTCATGACAGACACATCCCCCATGAGCTTATTCATCTAGAGTTATACGTGCATTTTACAGCAAGACATAACTCTACCCTTTTCTTTCCCACTCAAGAAAGTATAGCGGAATTGAGTAACGCTGGGGATTAGAGGAACTCTCTCCTCCTCCTCCTATATTTACATCTACATATATATGGTTTGTGAACACTGAGTACTTTTATACAATTATTAGTAACATATTGTTTGCAAAATATTTCACAACTTCTAAGACACATTTGAATATTTCAAAAATATACTGACACAATTGGAAGGAGACTAAGCTAGTTGTTCCTCCATCCTCCTGCCTTTAAGAAGGCTCTAAGAAGATTGGTATAGGAATCTGCTCTTAAGATTTTCTCAAAATAAACTTCAAGTGAGTTCATCTGGAAACAATTTCTTTCTTTGCAGACGCAGTTTATTCAAGTTGAACACGAAAAGAAAGTTTCGTTCAGGAAATGCTTCTCTATTAAGCCTCATTTCCAGCATGTTAAAAATTATGCACTACAAAGTTTGAACAAATTAAATATAAGCTTATTTTCATTCATTGAAAAATTAGACGTTTTAATCACTCTACATTTAATGTGCAATATTATAAAAAGTAGCAAGCGTATAATTTTGCCTATTCCTAAAACCTTCCTAACTAGGATATTTATTCAATATAGGAGTAAACTCTTGTTAAAGGCGCAACCAATATATAAATAAAAAGGTAACAGTAAAAACATGTGGTAGGCAGGCTATGTTTATGATCCCCTGACAGAAAATGTATAAATAGGGAAAATTTACCACTCATTCACAAGAGCTTAATGAAGCAGAACTAAGATCTCACACATACTATCTATCAGGTTGGGAACATTGGCAATTTCTCAATTTCATGCAGAATAGCGTTGTTCAAGTCACAGCTCCTGAAACAAAGGTCATTTTTTCTCCTTCAGTCAAAACAGTAAAGCTGTAATTGTTCTAGAAGTTTTCATTTTTTTTAAAACTAATGTTAATTTAATGGGTATTTTTTCCCTATACCCCTGAATGTACATGGTGCAGGGCTATGCTGTCTTCAAAAATCAATCTGTTCCATGCATTGTGACATGTGAACTACATTTAATTGATGTTTATTGCAAGGCAAAATGATTTATAGTGTCTAATAAGCATTCACAATTTAGAGCCTGTTGTTCATAACAGCTTCTTGAAATAACAGAATCTTGGGGTATATAAGTCTGTTTATAAAGGCTATTAAAAACATTGCATTTATTTAGCCATGGAATCTAATTCAGCTACCGACAGGATGAAGAATCAAGCACAAGCAAATGCTGCTATGGCTAAGTCTGGTAATGGCTAACTGAAAGGTTGCAGTGGGTAAGAAGGCTTACATATGGCCCAGATTTTAGACAAAGGCATGCTTCCAATTTCTGAATGTTCATTTATATTTCTGCAAGCTGCATTACTGGGTTGGCCAAAAGAGGCATATGGAGTTTCAACTACTCTTTAAGCTGCACATTTTTACCTTCCACACGAAAACACATTTTAAAATTTGTTACATCAGCTTGGATCACATGCCAGGTCTCAAAACTCTCTTCTAGCACTTCCTTAAGTTGTTTTGAAATGTTGGTATAAAAGGTCAGATTAACAAATCTATAGTATTTGTCTGAATTTTGGCACCCATTCTTCTACTATTCTACAAATCCTTTGAACTCTGATCCCAAACCTAATTCCTCATCTACTCTAAAAGATCTGCCCTTCTTCTATGTTTCCTGTCTCAGTGCCAATGTCCTCTTCCCAGTTGCAGCAATCTGAAACATCAGAAACTTCTGTAACTTCTTTCTCTCCCTAACTCCCTCATGGAAATTAGTCACCAAACTGTGCTGCTCTGGCCTGGTTTTCCTTCACAGCCGTGTCTTCCAAGCCAGCTCTCTGCCCCTACAGAGATTGAGATTTTCTATTGACCTCTAGTCTCTCTTACCTACCACCCTTATCAGTCCCACCTATAGGAGCCTCCAGGGCCACTGTGGGGTACCCAGTGCTCAGTCCATCCTTCTCACCTCCCAGGATTTAGCCAGGCAAAGCTCCTTATTTCATCTGGCAACAAAGTGGCTATACTCCTAAAAACCAGTGTGAAAATTTCCTGCCCTACCTTGCTAATAGTAACCCTCCCTTATAGCTGAGCATAGATCTGATCTTGCCATTTTTTTTTTTTTTCTGAAAGGATTTGAAGGTTTCTAACTGCATATAAAAGTCACTCTCGGCTGGGCGTGGTGGCTTATGCCTATAATCCCAGCACTTTGGCAGGTCAAGGTGGGCGGATCACCTGAGGTCAGGAGTTCAAGACCAGCCTGGCCAACATGGTGAAACCCTGTCTCCACCAAAAATACAAAATTAGCTGGGCATGGTGGTACATGCCTATAATCCGAGCTACTCAGGAGGCTGAGACAGGAGAATCACTTGAACCTGGGAGGTGGAGATTGCAGTGAGCCGAGATCACGTCATTGCACTCCAGCCTGGGCGACAAGAGCGAAACTCTGTCTTAAAAAAAGAAAAAAAAAAAAAGTCACTCTCCTCAGACTAACACCTAGATTTCCCAGATTCGGACTCTCTGCTTTTAACATCTTTACAGCCAGAATGCTGCACCCTCATCAGTCAAGGAATAGTTTGAATTGCATGTTCTTCATGAAGTTTTCTGGTGGTCCCCTTAGTCAAATTCCCCCTCCCTTTTCCCCGCTCTTCTCATCAGTTGTATTTTGTCTCACTATAAAATGATTTACCTGAAAGATATAAAGCCCCTAGAGGGTAAAGGTCCTGTCTTACACACCTCTGGAACCCCACTTTGCTACTGCAATGCCTTGCACCTAGAATCATTCACACTCAGTAAATATTTGTTGAATTTAATTGGATGGTCACTACCAACCCCTGGGTTAATTTACTACTCCTATCACCAAAAAGTTACTAATGCTTTCAATTACTTCTTAATAGCTTCATTTTAAGCTTATAAATTAAATTACTTTATTTAAAAACAAATGCCATGTTTCTGACATTGGTACAAGGAAAGCAAGCATTGATGGAAAATATCTTGGTCCCCTAGAAAATGTAGATATAACCACACGACTCAAATGAACACAATAATCCCTCATTTTATTCTACTATAGCTAAAAAAAAGGAAGAGAAAGAGATAAATCATTGCTTCATGGCTGTAAAGTTTGTTGTGAAGCTTGAAAAAATTTAAATGCCTATTTCAGTATTTGCTAGAAAATCGAAAAGAAAATTGTCTTTAAAATTCCAGCAACTTTTCCTCTGTGAAAAATTTAGTTCGAATTGCTCATTGCATTCCTATCCCACTTTACAAAGCACTTGATAGCAAAATGCATTTCAGAAAAATGCAGCTAGTACTTATGAGAACAGCTGTTTTTCTGAAAAATAATATTTTTGTTTATACAAATTGTACCTAAGTTAAACTTTCATAAAAGATACGATATACTTCAATAGCATAGTGTTTATCATATTAAAATTAATCAATTTCCACACTTCTTGGAAGGTCTACCGTTTGCTGAGAAGTGGGCTTGGTGCCCTGGGAACAACAAAGAATTAAAAGATTGAGAAATACAATATTTTCAGGTGTGAATAATTAGTTAGAGATCCAGTAAGGAGTATGAGAAAATCTATAGTATAATTAGATGCTAAAGGATTTAGCACAGATAAAGGCCCATCTGTATTCAAAGGAAACAATCGTCTCTTCCTGGTATGGACATCACCTTTTGCCCACACACCACGGCTACAAACTTAGGCATGATGTTTGGTTCTGTCTTCTCCATTGGCCCTTCCATTCAGTTAGTGTCAAGAAGTAATAATTCTAAGCCCTTTCTTTAAAATTTCTCTCAGTGTCCTATTTTAACCTTCGGTTCCATTGTCACACCCAATTGCAGAATTTCCTCATTTCTGTATTAGCTTCCTCGTTCTTTCCTTCAGATTTATCTGCACCTGTGTGTGACCACACCGTTTAGCCTGCTTGCGTGACCCAGTGACCACTCAGTATGTGGTTAGGCCAGTTCAAACACCAGTCATGATATTTATAAGGCCCTCTGCACTATGTCTTCATTCATTCATTTACTCATTCATTAAATCAACATTTATTCCCTAACACTTGTTTTATGCCAAGCACTATTCTAGACACTGGGGATATCATTTTTATTGAAACACTAATTTTATTCATATAGAAAGGACCAGCCAGGTACTTCCTGGCTGTGTCTTCTTGGGTTATTCCCTTGCCTAATTCTGCTGGTTTTCTCCTTTACAAAATGGGAAAACATCTTGCCTGCTCTATTTAGGTCACTGGATTTCTGGAGAACTTAAACATGAGGTAGGCCAGTGAAAAATGTTTACAATCTCTAAAAGAATAAAACACCATTCATTCCTTTATAAATTTTGAGTTATCCCGGGGAGAAATATATTCAAGTAATTTAAGCAGGAGGGAAATTGTTTCCAACTGAGGTGTCTGTGGAAGGCTATCAGGATGCAGTGTTCTCTGAGCGAGGTATAACTGGTATAACTGGACTTTGTTCCGCAACCACTGGGGAATCTGTCAAAGAAGCTAGAAGAACAATGTACTGGCAGCAGGGTGGACGATGGCTTGAAGCTTAGAGACTGGAAGCAAAGAGACAGATCAGAAGTTGAGAGAAAATGTGGGCATAATAAATCCGGAAGGTTGGCGGTACAGGAAAGGAGAGATAACACTGAAAGAAATATAGATGAAAGAAATGTTGAAGAGGAAGAACATTAGAATTTGGCAACTTGGATATGTGGTGGTTGGGGGGACAGGGTGAGGGACACACATAAGTAGACAATGTAGACAGTGGTTCCCTAATTAGGATTTACAGTGAGAGAATGGCCTGTAATATCCCTACTGGGAAAGAACAAATTTCTATTTAACCAAGATGGGTTTAGTTTTGAATGGTGAGACTGAAGTACACACATCTTATGGTGAGTACTGAATATGTATGAAATACTGACATAACAGGATGTATTATTGGAGCCAAAATGCAGTAAGGGGTTTGAAGAAGCAGCATTTCATAAGGATAATGAACTTCTCATTAACTTCTCAGATTAATGAACAAGATTTATGGAACAGAATCCTAAGATTGGGGAAGAGTTTGAAAGAAGGTTCGGTACAAGATGCTACTTCAATTAAACTGTTATTAATATTGTTATTTTATTATTTATGTTTGCTGTGATAGTTGAAAGGGGAACTGATTTTCTCAGAATGCCCCAGTTGATAATAATTTTTTTGAGTTCTGGAAGTGCAACTCTTTGTATTTGAATTAAATTAATTCATTCTTTATTCCCACTGCTAATACAATGACCTAGATTTCAGGCTGTCAAGATGTGTAAATGTAAAATGATAAGATTATCTTTTTCACAATATTTTAGTGTCAAGATTATTTACTAAATGCTGCTCTCTAAGGGAGCTATTTTAGTATTCTAGTTTCTAAACCTCCTCTTTGTAGGCTATTCCATGGGATTCATATTTTATACTTGCTTTTGTAATTTATATTTCATTTCAGTTCTTAAAAAAGCACTACACATTTAAACAAAATTCATCCCCCTAAAAAATCCATAGAGAGAATTTTTAAATGCGAGGATAGAATATATATTGAACTGTAGACTTCAAGGTTTTAAGACATCACTTCTATAGCACTGCATATGATTCATTAACAATTTCTAGACCCTACACTGTCCAATACAATAGTCTAGCCACATATGGTGACTGAAATTCAAATTAGCTAAAATGGCCAAATGTAGAAGTTCAGTTCCTCAGTTACACCAGCCATATTTCAACTGTTCAACAGTCTATGTGGCTAGTGGCTATTGTACATGATGGAACAGACATAGAATATTTCCATTATCACAGATATTTCTATTG